GCAGAGTTGTGAAGTCGGCGATAGGTGAGTCCCGGCGCGCCTCCGGGGGGAGAGGGAAGCTGCTCTGCCGCCCTCCACAGCCCCTCGCACCGGGTCCCCTCGCGGTGTCCCGCAGCCCCGCTCCCGTTCGCTTGCATCCATCCCTTCCCATCCTGCTGGGTGCCCTTCTGGTGTCCCCCACTTAAACACAGCCTGATCTGTGGAAGCGCCCCTATTCCTGAGCTATAGCAGTGTTTCTTTCTCCCGGGGGCTTGCTGACCCCCCTGTGTCTCTCCTTGCATGCTGCCTGGATGAGCAGCTGACGTGTTTTGTCCCACTCTGCTCTGACCTAGAGGAGTATCACAAGAAGGCGGCTGTGAATCACTTGAAAGCAAACCTGCAGTACATGTTGAAGGGACGATTTGTTGCAAACAAAGCCATCACAGAACAAGTAAGACTGTCACTTCTTTCTTTGGGGGTCTCCTTCTGCTGAGGAACACAGGTGAATGGGAATCATCCCCAGGTCTTCCAGCTTAGACCCTGTGCAAAGGAGTCGAGTTTCTGTCTGGAAGTGGTCTTAAGGAATTTCTGTGTGCACTGGCAAAGCAACTTACTAAGCTTTAAACTCTTTAATACGTTGTCCCCTATGATGTTCTCTGATACTAGTTAAAATCTACTGACGAGTGTTGGCTTTTCTTAATTACCAAAGATATTTCAGAGTTTTAGCTGGCAAAGCAGCCCTGGTTCAGACCTTCTACTTACTGTTGATTGATTTGTCCTCTCTAGCTGAAGGCTGTTTAGCAAGGAACCAGATGTGCTGCTGGCTCATGTAATAGGAATTTCATAGCATCTTGAATGATGTTGCTCATAACCTGAGAATTTAGGCACTGGTCTTCCTCAAAAGGTAGTCCCGTGCCAGGATTTGAAGATAATGGCTGACTCTGCTAGAATCTTGGGCTATTTTTATGAGATGCGGGCTTTTAACTTACATAAACAAACCAAGTGTTTTAGGCCAGTGTTTCTCAGGCTGGAGGTTGTGAAAGGAGGTGATGGCATATTAGAAAATGCTGAGGGAATTCCACCAACTTCTTGGGTTTTAAGCTTGTCTTGAGGAGAGACAGGATTAAAAAGAAGGTCTGAATTGAAATCATTGTTTCTATCTCTGTGACAGTTGCCAGAGAGTACTTTTCATATTTGGCTCCAAATAGTAGGTTGATATTTACTGTTGTCCCAGTGACCTGCTTTGGTTAACATTGGTGATTGCCTGTCAGTTTTCTTTGGAGGCATTCCAGGGTATAGCAGGGTACCAGCAGAATAACAGGGATGCTGCAGGTGAGCTTGAAAATCACTGTTTTGTGGTTTGGTCTGGATAACAATGAGTATTTTTTTTCTTTTTTTTATTGTCTGAAGGTTCTTGCTCAGAACAGAGGCAGGAAGTCCAAAGATCAGCCTCCAAAGAAGGCGGCAAAGAAGAAACCCGAGGGCACTGTCTTTACTGAGGAAGATTTCCGTAAATTTGAGAGAGAATACTTTGGGAGACCGTAAACAACATGACAGGGATTCTCATGGCTCCACAAGAGCCACTGAAGCTGAGCGTTCAGCACACAGGACTGGCCATTTCATCAGTGTGTTTGAGATGGGACATAGGAGATGTGCCTCTGTCAGCAAGTGCTTTAATGTCACACTTGCAGAGAAACTCTGCATCTGTGCAGAACTTGTTACTGGCCAGCTAGAGCCATGGAGGTTCTCTTGGCTTTGAGATGTGTTGTCCTTATAATCCCCAGCTAACATTTCTTGCATTCTTAATGTAGAAGAGTAGACCAAGCCAAATAAAAGTCTTGCTCCCCTTCCTCAGGATGTAAGGCTTCTGCTACCTGTGTTATTTGGCAGGGAGCATTTAAAGTACTGTATCTGAATGGAGAAATGTTTTGGACCAGCAATAATAAATCATCGGAAGGGAAGGACGCTTTGAAAGACACTTAAACCTGAGCAGCCTTGCAGTTTCTGTTGTTATTACAGCCTCTGTCAGGTTTTACAGTCATTGCAAAAACTTTGTATATGTCGTTTGATTAAATAATGGTCGCAGACACTGCCTATCTTTGTCTTTCTAATAGTGATTGTTATGACAGGCTACGATTGATGAAGACAAACCGTGTCACTGTTCTGATCCAAGCATCCCTCCCTTTAGGATGACTCAGTTGTGTGAATGGCCTCTCTCTGATTCATGTTGACACATGTATTTAATCTGACATGCTCAGGCCTTCAAAGGGTGCAGGTTGGAATGGAGATGACACCTGTTTTGCCTACTCACAGTCTCACCTCTCCAAGGAAGAGGCCTCACATGGAGAAACTTGTCCTTTGGATGTTTATGCTTGAGCCTCCCCCTGAGGTTCAGCCACGCTAAGAGGGCACTGCTGCTGGGTGCTGCCAGCTCCTATAGCCAGGAGGGGTTGTGACCCAGCTATTAGCCTCAGCATGAAGTTAAAATCTTCTGAGCCAGAGGCTGTGGTGCTGGGGGGAGGGAAATTTTTTTGTTAGACTACTGCTGCAACAAATAGAAGGCCCAGCAGGTGGGGATGTTGTTCCAGATGCATCTTTGCTAATTCACTGGAAATGTTTCTGGGAAGCTCCTGCCACTGCCCTTTCCTGCCCCTTACCTAAGAAAATGGGAAGTGTGTTGCCTTTGGAGAAAAAAAAAAAAAGAGGTAAGGAGAAGGACTAATGCCAAGCTTTGTTTAGACTTAGGAGTTGATTACAAGGGGCTTGGCTGACCTGAGCAGCAGCTGCCTAGATGTCAGTACTGGAGGGAATTTGGTGTCTGTTCCTTGCCCTCTGATCATAATTCCTGGTGCTGTCCTCTTAAGTCTGTGCCTTGTCTGTTGTGTTCTTTCCCTCTTGTCTGTATGGGAGGCAAAGTCACCCAGATGTATGAGGCCCAGACAGGGGAAACAGTGAACATACTGAAGTGTGTGTACTTGAAATTGTGTAACAGCATGTGGGAGGAGATTTCTTGTAATAGGATCAAGTTCAACTGTCTGCAACCAAAAGTGGTAAATATAGAAAGTTCAAAGACCAATTTCCTTCTTTTTCAGTTTGTTCTTGCTCCCAAAGTTAAAAAAGATGTGTTAAAAAAGAGAATGACTGTTTGCTACTTAAAAATATGGAAACACTATTGTTTGAAAAAGTGATTGAGGAAAATGTGTATGCAGCACATGTCTCCCTAAAACCTCTGCACTCTGTGCCTGCTGCAGTGTGTGTGAGCTGGTCTGACACATGCAGCTCAGTGTGGAGCTGTCACGGAGATTTAACAGTGTTAAAAAGCTCTCTGTGCCACAACTTGACTTCTGAAAGGGATGGATTTCTGGATTGTTACTTTGTTTCATGCCCTCATCTTCAGTACTGGGCAGTTCCTTTGACCTTACAGAGATCCTTCATGTCATCTCCTGCGCTTCCTTTACTAATTCCTCCTACGCACCCTTGTTTCTTGTGGTTGTTCAGCTCCTGGGCCCTTCTTCTGCAGGCTGAGGAAAGCAAAACCATCCTTTGTTGCTCCAGAAAGGAGCACTAGGGTAATGTCTTTCACTCTCTTTGTACAAAACCCAGCTTGTTTGCTTGCAAATGTAAGCAAACAGAAAAGCTGCTCTTTCAGAGTTAATGAGGGACTTTAAAGTGGGGCCCAGAGCAGTTTTCCCCAAGGATAACACCACCACCACCACCTCGATCTGTGGAGTTTTAAAGTTGGATGGGAGCTCTAATTACTGGCTGGAAAGACTATCAGGGCCAACACAAGTAATCAACATACTTCTTGTGGCTATATGCAATGAGGCATTGGGTAAAGGCACCTGACAGACTGGATTTTGCCATCTGAAATCAAACTTCATTGTACAGCCAGCAGTATCCTTAAATAAATTAAACTTTATCTTGAGGGAGGAAAGAAAACTAAGCAGAAGTGAACAGGTGGCTCTAGATAAACCATCTTCTGCAAGGGCAAAGATCTGATATATTCTAGCCTTGATTTTTCCACCTCTCTAGCAGAGCTGGAGCTCCTACGAAAGAACAGCAGTGCCACCTGCACAGTGGGTAGATAAGGACAGGAGTTGGCCCCTGAGGAATGTCTTCAAGCTGGAGGGGGGAATAGGTACCAGCCTGTTGCATGCCCATGGTGGTAAGCTAAAACTAAGCATCTTCTTACACTCCTGACAGTCTATGTTACGGTCTAGTCATGCCTAGAGCATGCCAGCCCCTCGGCTGCGCTGGGACCCCGGGAGGTGGCTAGCTTAGAGCAACTTGTGCCGTCTCTCTGTTCCTTGCAGCCAGACTTTGCTGCCCCACGAAAGAGAGAAGAGGGGGTCAGGGAAGGAGCGGCTGCCATAGCTGTTTTTCCTACTTGGCTTCCGACCTCTGGTTCCCACGCTGGAAGCTAACACGCTGCAGCCCACAACCCTCGTATAGCATATCCCCCACGCAGCTGTGAGCGGCAGCGCAGGGAGGCGTCCCGCTGCTGCGGGGCGAGGGCTGCGTGCTGGCTGAGCTCATCGGGCTGCTGGCTCTCTTCCCAGCTCTGCGACACTGGCTGAGCATCCTGCAGCAGAAAATAGAGGTAGCTGAGCTAGGGAAGAAGGAGGAGGGTGCCATCTTACAGTGCGTCCCCACCCACATGCAGCAGGGAGTCAGAATGGGAGGCAGCAGCAGCAGCTTTAATATAAATGCAAATAAAAGCTCTGGAGTGTTATTAATGTGGTAGAACCTTTCCAGGGAAACAGTTTAGAGGAGGCAGAATAGTTCCCAGATGCTCAGTGTTGAGCTAGCTTATTGTGAATAAGATTCATCAAGCCGGTTAATGGCCTATTGCTCCCTCTGTTATGTGAATGGAAAGCACACAGGAAAATTTGTTTGGAAGGGTACAAGCTAATGTAAGCCAGTACAGCCTCCGCTGTATCAGCAAGTCTTTACCTCTTTAGTGTAGAAAGCAACAAGAGCTAATATCAGCATTATACCTGTATTGGGAGGGGGGGAGGACTGCAAATGTAAACCAAGAAAACGTGTTTGCTTAGGACACTGACCAACTTCTTGCCTCTGAAATGACATAGCATTAACAAACCTGGCTGCGAATGAACAAAGACAGACTAAACCTTGCTCAGGCAAACAAGACTTGAAATGCTGAAAAAGCTGGGGGGGGTGGGGGGTGTCCCAAAACCTTTGAGAATCTCAGTCTCTGATTTCTTTTTCATGACTGACTTCCATTTCAGTCTTGCTGATGACCAACACAGCATCAGCACCTACAACACTGACAGGCTCCTGAACGCCTTGGGTAAGGGCCTGGTTATTGTAGAAAGGGTGCACAGCAGCAGCACCCTGAATAACTCACAAAAGAAACACTACAGCAAAAGGAAGTTTCTCATTTTGAGACAGGAAGACCCATCAGTTCAATTAAAAATGAGAAATGTGAAAGAAGGCAGGCTGCCTAATGCCTGCTTAAAGCCCAAAATGTGGAACTCCAGCCAAGCCAGGCTGAAGGGTTAGTAGGTTTGAGACAGATTAAAGGTTTGCATGTCTATCCATAGTTATGTTAAATAGGATTAACAGTGCCAACCACTAACTGGTGAGGGCAGTGGAGATAAAAAGCATGAAGGTTGCTCTGCAGCTGTCTACAGGGTTACGCGCACCTTTTTCTGAACGAATTAGCTGTTGGCAGGGCTAACCAGTAATCTAGCCAAGCTGGTCTGTCCTGAGCTGCACCGTTTGTGTGCCAGCAAGTTCATTTATCTCCTTTAATAGGAGGCGAAGACTAGGTCTGTTTCTCCAACTGTCCATGCGCTGCAGCGGAGATGCAGAGGAGTTACAGACCTAGGAGATTCTCTGCCCTATATAAATTAAGCTGACGTGTCTGGTGCACTTGGAACTCACTCCCTGCCATTTTTAAAAGGGTGCGTATGTGTAAAAGAGAGGAAGAGAGCAGCTGAAGGAGAAATGAGAGGCGGCTAGCCATTACTTGGAGAACATGCACCTATGTAATAGGGAAATTGGAGCTTGTGGGTACAGCCAGCTTCATTCAGTAGCTTGTGACTCTGCATGAGTGCACTGAAAATAATGCAAAGACAGCATACCTGGGATACCTGAGCAGCCAAAATAGTATTGTCTAGGTTGGAGGATGGAACTCCTCTGTTAATTCACAAGGCCCAACTAAACAGCCTGAAGCATTTCAATAGGAAAGTCAGCAAAGACGAGCTTTTTCGGCTCAGCAAGGGGTGCTCATGGTAAGAGCACTGTCTTTGCAATGGAAATGAAGTGTAACGGGAGTATATGTGCTGGGCTGCAAGGGCAAGGCTGTGAATACATCAGGAGGATGGAGGAAGGTGGGTTGTCTCTAGAAGCTACTTGAACTGTATTAAGAAAAAATTAGTATACCCAACGTGGAAATTATGTGTATAGGAAGGATAATATAGATCCTGTTGTTTCTGAAAGCCTAAGCCTATGGAAAGATAAAGAAAACTGGTGTTATTCTGACCAAAAATGTATAGGTTTCCCACCCCCAAAAAAGGCTT